CTGTTTGCAGTCTACAACTCACTGCCCCACTAGCATTTCTAACAGTAGAAATGGGAACCACTACTTCTGTCAACACTTGTTTTCCACCAGGTTTCTCTGCCACCATTTCAACTGTCCTTAGATTCAAGGTCCCCTTGGAGAAACCTGCTTTGGGAAGCAGTTAAAAGAAGGTATAATAAGGGGCCTCAGTGTCTCTAGGCACTCTCTAGGGAAGAGCCACACACTTTCAGCAAGTAATATCATCTCCTTGAGGCCTCTAAAAATACTGCCACTTAAAAATATAGATCCATGTTCTCAACTCTAGGCATACACAGTGATTCTAGTTCTTTCTCTGTGTCTGCCTCATAAGCCAGAAGAATGAGTAAGAGCCAAGATTTTCTCACCACCGCGCGAAAATACATGGCAAATTCACCCACCGTAAGTTTTTCCTCAGTTTCCAACATAAAACCATAAAACAGGATCTAACAAACCCAAAGCTTACTTGAGCAGCATCAACAGCAATGTACTACTAGGAAGAACATACACGTCGTCACTTTAGACAATGCAAGACAAACTTGGAATCCCTGCACTCTATAGTTCACAAAAGGAAATGGAAAGGAATTGATAACAGTACTCTAAGTCGAGCATCTAAGCCTCTAAATTTACCACAACCAGTATGTGCTTCTCCTATTTGCCTGAAGTGCTTTTGCTGCAAGTATCAGGACGAAAGGCCATAAGCCAGTTCACTTAAGACTGGGGAGCTAAAAGGAGTCCATCCTCTACATAGAGTTTGTACAGCACGTACGAGAAAAAGTTGGAAGATAAAATTATCTCAAGTGGAAACAACTTCTTATGTTCATGTATCGACCAATTAGAATAAGAAATTTAAAAGTTAAAAACCCATATTCTGAAAGATCACTAAAGTGATATCAAACAGGATCCCAAAAGTCATAGTCAAGTTTGGCAACAGATTCTTATTAGACATCTGTAACAATTACTTGGCATAAAACTTATTTCCCAAGCTTTCAATTAACATAAAGGAACATATATTTAGAATGACAAACAGATTAGAAGTTGGGAAGAGGAAATACCACAAGTTTCTAATACTCCCTACAACAATAGGGCATGCACACATTCGTCCTGTGGGAATAAAAGTACCTGCATGAAGTACATATATTTTATATGCTCATTAGTCTGTCATCTTCCCAAAATAATTAAAACATTCGAAATACCAAAAAAAGCACCTTTGAAATCTTATACTTATGCAAATGTCTACTTCACTGAAATAAAAGATGAAAATGCTAAATCTCTCAGAAATCACTATAATTTACTGAAAAAGGTGTGTTTTTAAGGTTCCATATTTGAATTTTACAGAAGAGCAATCAAGTGTAACTGATTTACAGCAATAATTTAACAAAAGCAATAATTTGAGAGAGTGTGTTAACAGTATTACAGATTTTATAATGCCAAGGGCCACAGCCAACCTGGAAAATTCAGATAAAAGCCTCCCGAACCTCAGTATTTTGACCAAAATTAGGAAGATTATTTCTCACACGCTCTAATTACTTATTCAATAACTCTTCACAGCCCCACTCTGTGACAGAGGCAGTGCCTGGTGCTATGGCTGCAATGGGGACAAGCAGGTCTGTGGCGCTTCCAGCCAATGGAGGAACTCCACCACCCACGTCTCTTCTCTACTGCTATAAACATTTCTTGACCTACACAACACACAGGGCACCAATCCCAGCCCCCTCTCTCTCCTGCCTGCTGCTTTCCCCTCCCCTTCACCATCAGTTACAGCGGCAGTGGTGGTCCTCTGTCCCTTAGGTGTGCAAGCGCAAGGCTCAGTCCCAGTTCAGGGCCTTGGCACTTACCCTTCCCTCTGCCTGAGCCACTCTTCCTCCAGATCTCCAAGAACACAGGCTTCTTCCCCCTCCTTCAACTCTCAGACCTCTCCACCCCAGAGAGGCCTCTCAGGCCACTCAGACTAAAACAGCAGACCCCACCCTGTCCCTCTGTTCCACAGCAACCCTGTTTCAGTACTTCTGCAGTACTATCACTGTCTGATATTATCTCCTTTATTGCTCTTTTGCTTTTTAACCATCTCCCCCACTTAGATGTGAACTCATTACAGTAGGATCTGTCCGTCCTACACACTGCTGTATTTTAGTCCCTAGAAAGTTTCCTGAAATATTTACAGATGCCCAATAAATACCTCTTTAAGAAACACAAACATAGACAATGTTAGCAGTTTTGTATCACAATGGCAGGAACCAAATAAAGGAAAAAGAGAACATCTTAAATGCTAAAAGATTTGATGAGTTTTTTTAAATATAGATTTTTTTTAAAAGATCATCATAGCTTCTTATACTAGTCTTAAAATACAACTCTCAAAAATAAGCACAATGGAAATACTAAAGCTCAACATTGGCTAATGTTCATACTTTATGATGTATTAGGCTCAATGTCTAGCATTAGCATTACTTCTACAATTTAATCTTTTTTAAAAGCATGCTGAGACCCCAATTTTTCATTTAAAAAAGGAGCCAAATATTTTTAAAAGCATCCTTCCCCTGAAGAGTTGTTACAAACTGTAAAGTTTGTAACCATGTTATACCAACACTAAAATAAGAGATGCTGGTGATAATTTGTGATAGGCGGGCATTTTAGTATCTAAGGGCAAACAAGTTTTATGAAACAAATTGCCCTCCTCTTCAATTTAATCAAAATTCAAGCCTTCTCTCCACATTCAAAATTATTTAAACTCTTAGGAATTTTTCCTACATATTGTTCTTAAAAACTTCTATCTGTTCCCTTTCTTTTGTGGAAACAAAGAGGTTAGTTGTTACTCAAGAAATATGACTTTAGTTACTGACCATCACAGCTCACACTCCACAGCAAAGATGCCAAAGATCCTTGTGGATCACTGTGAAGTTATATTAATATAAAAGCAAACGCTGTACACTGGGGAGAAGGCACATTTATTTCCTGGAATGTGATGTAAAGAAGCAAGTTACTACTGCCTTTGGGCCTTTGGGAATAACAGAAATCCACTTAAAAACCTCAAAAACTAATGCTTTACAACAATTTCATAGCAAAACATTAGAAACAACCTACATATATCCCAATAAAGAAGAGATTAAATAAATTATGGTTCATTCTTAATGGAGTACTCAGCAGCTGTTAGAGAATGAGGCAGGTCTCTTAGGGACTGATGGAGATTGCCATGATTTAGTACTCTGTGGGGGGAAAGCTGGTGCAGAACAGAGTATACAGTGGGTCCTCATCTGTGGAAAGACAAATAAAAACACATACAAAACGCTTATATGAGCACAGGCTGTGTCTAGAAAGATGTACGCACGGAGCCAGTAGCCCTGGTTCCTGGGGAGGGAACCGGGCGCTGTGGGACATGGTGGCAAAGAGTTAATGCTTTCTACTCTATACCTTTTTGTATCCACTGAATCTTCTGCTGTGTGAACGGACTGCCCATCCCACAAATTAATATGATAAATTTAACATAAGAATAATTTACACTATTACTAACATATTCATCAAGGATGACCATTCAGAAGCAAAAGTTTTCAAAAATCCCAAAAGTTTTGTTCCCTTCGACAGCAGAGTCCCTGATTCTTATTTCCCAGAAGAGACTCCAAGTCTCTACTAATGGGAGAGCTGCGCTTGTGATCTCACCTATTACAAAGCAAAGAAGCCTCAATTCAATTCTTGGAGAGGAAATAGCTGCTCAGTCCACCTTGAAAACATAGCTCGTATTTAAATGGAGCTTGTATCTCCCTAATGATGCCTCCAAATGAAGTTTCCCCCTAGCTATAAAACAGAAAGCATAAGAAACAAGTAAGAGAACAGTCTCATGTTTTTAAAAACACAGACTATACTTAGGTTTCCTTTCCTCTGCCAGGCTTAGACAAGAAACCCTCCGATAATAGTGAAATGTGATTTCAGATTTGTGGCAAAATAATCACTTAAGGGGAGGGGCACGTGACATTTGCACTGGGGGGGGAAACGCTTTAATGTTTTATTTGTGGAGGAGGAAGATTTGCTCCTTGTTAGTATAAATTTCGGCACCATTTTTAGACCCCTGACTAAATGATACTAGTAACTCACATTAATTTTACTCCAAGCAAATACTTCTTTAAATTAACAACAAATCTAAAAATGAACACAAACAAATCGGACGGCAAACTTTAAACTGAAACTTTTCTGGGGAAAAACGTATCTCAAAAGAACACATAAAAAGAAATACAAAGAACTCATTTCCATATAAACACCATTCAATAACAGTACATGCTTTACCAACATCTGACTGCATTAAACACACACATACAAAAAGGAACACAAAGATACCCAACTGCAAATAAAAGACCTCATATATTTTTGGTAGCGGAATGTGGGGCGCAGAATCCCATTATTCAAGCCCACACTTAAATTCAGAACACTTGATGTGCAGTTTTGTGTTAGAACTCATGATTCCACCTTTGTGCGTTTAGACAACACACCAGTAATGACATCTTTCACTTTGATGGTCAACACTTTAACCTTGGGTTTAATCGGTACAGTGCCTTCGGGTGCAAGTACATAGAATACAGGTAAGTCAGACGCACTATAAATACAGAAAGGACGAAGAACTGGTTTCAAGAAGAGTTGAGGCACAGAGGCACGAAATCACTTGGCAGATCGCATCTCCAAAGGAAAATAATTTTATAGCTCCTTCCCATCCCCCAGGTAACCTCTGGCCACAAAACTTACTGCCCTACGGGGGGCAGAAGTTCGCGGCGGGAGAGTGACCCCAGAACGCGCGCGGACAACGGCGCGACCCGGAACAGCGCTCCCCCGGGTCGGTCACTTGGGACGCTTCCCAGACCTCGGACCGGGACCGCCAGAGCGCTGCCCCCGCCCCGCCCGGGCCGCCGGGCGCTCGCGGCGACGCGCCCACGGGACCCCGCTCCAGGTTCCGCGCGCGGCTCCCATTCCGCGCGCCGCGCCCACCCGCCCCCGGCACTCACGGGCCGCTCCCGCGCCGCTATCTCGCCATTCCCTGCCGCCGGCTCGGCCGCCGCCCCGGGGCTGCCCCGAGCCCGCAGCCGCCCGGGGGCTGGAGCCGCCAAGGAGGGGGCCGGGCACAGCCCGCCGCCGCCGTCTCGGCTCCCCCGTCCCAGCCTGGGCTGCTCGAGGCGGCCGCGGGCCAGGGCCAGTGCGCTGCTCTCCGCGGACCCCGCGAGCCGCCGCCGCC